CTCCGGGGATAAACGCCGGCCGCCCGACAGCGCCGGGAGCGCGGCCAGGCGTGGGCCACGCGGGCGCGCGGCGCTGCCTGGGAGACGTCCGCAGCGGGCTCCCTGTCTCAGGGTCCGAGGGCCGTGTCTAGAGGTCCTGTCCACACTGGCCACTGAAGGCTGCTGGACATGCCGGAAAGATGCTGAGTGAAACTGCCTGGGGCGAACACCAGGGTCATACTGAATGTGGAGAAGTTTGGTCCAGGGCAGCCGCTGGACTCTCCTGCTTGTGCTCAAGGTAGCGCTGTCCAGAAAGAGCAACCGAGTCCCGATGGCCATCTCTTCCCAGTGCGGTTCTGCAGAGGCACACACATGGCCCTAGCCCAGTCCAGAGCAGACACTGTCTGCCATGGTCAAGGTGGCACCATCAAAATGCACACCCCATTTGGGGGTGGAAACAGGCTCCCAAATGCTTGATCTGACAGAACCCATGTGGCTTTAAGAGGATTGCGTCGCATGCTCAAGGCTTGGGTTCCATCCTGGGGGTGGAGATGCACCGCAAATCCAAAATACCCACAAGTCTCAATGCTGGGGAGAATGCGGAGCAACAAGGAACTCCTACTCATTGCTGGTGGGAGTGCAAAAGAGCACAGCTACTTTGAAAGACACTTTTGTACAAAACTGAAATCTTACCACACAATCCAGCAGTCCCACTCTGTTTCCCAAAATAATTGGAAATTTATGTCCACAGCTCTCTCTACTTGACATTCAATTTTGCTATGAACTTAAATTGCTTTAAAATAATTTTTAAATTTTTAATTAAATGAGTTAATACATAAAAAGAATAGTACACAGCACGTAGCTGTCCATGGCTATTAGCTTTATCTTTCCCAACTGACAGCTGTGGAAATAAAACACATAATAAAAAGGCTTGTAATATGCACATGGTCTGTAACAGACTTGGGATTCGAACCAAGACCTCTAAGACTCCAAAGCCCATAAAGTATTCTTTTCCTCACACCAAGACAATGAAATGAAGATGTGTATAAACAGCTCTTGTATTTATGTGTACACACCTATGGCACTTTCAGGGTAGCACATAGTGTTCCAAAGAGCTCCTCTTTCCTGAACCACAAAGTGTCGGACACCAGGCAAGACTGAAACTCCGGAGCAGCTCTCACACTGATACAGTGACTCTGGCTGTTGGTCACTTGGTTCTAGCTTTTTATTTCCCAAAGACCATACATTAAAGCAAAAACAGGGGCTGGAGACGTAGTTCAGTGGTAGAGCACTCGCTTAACGTACATGGGGGCTTGGTTTCTGTCTGTAGCACCAAGAACAAAACAACAAAAATAAAGTACCTCTTTCCTCTTCACAGAAAAATACCAGGATAATGTCCATATAAAATAGCCTAGGGGAGCAGAGCATGGTGGCACATGCCTGTAATGCCAGCACTTGGGAGGCTGAGGCAGGAGGGTCACCAAGAGTTCAAGGCCAGCCTGTACTACAAAGTGAGACCCTGTCTAAAAATACAAAAAAAGAAAAAGAAAAAGAAAAAGCCCAGGTGGCTTTAGAACGACCAGTTTTTCTAAGATACCTAAGGCAATCTGGCTTTAACTGAAACATCCTCTCTAAAGAAACATAGTAATAAAAATCACTTGAGTCAATTGACCCCTTACTGTGGGTCAGGCAGCTGTGCTAACTTCTTGACATGCGTTGTCTCATTTAGTCTTCACACTACCCTAATAGGGAGTTGCTGTTATTATCCCCATTTTACAGATTAGAAACCAGGTTGAAGAAAGCCAAGCAATTTGCCCAAGGCCACATAGCTAACAAATAGCAGAGCCCGGAGTACTTGCCGCTTCACTGGGCTGCATGCTGGGAGTCATGTGGTGTGCAAAGTACCTGGGCTTTGGGGCCACGCAAAGAGAATGCTTGGCTGTAGTGGCTGCCAGCATGCTCCTTTGCTTCTCTAAGCCTCAATTTCCTCATCTATAAAATGGGGATAATAATAGTGCTTACCTCAGTAGACTGAGAGGATGAAATAAGCAAATTCATTCAAAGCAATTAGCCAGGTACTTGAAACACAGTAAGTCATTAACAAATGTTAGTTATTATTAACCTTTCTGAGCCTCCATTTCCTCATCTGTAAAACGGGCTGATAATGTATCCCGGTGTGTCACGGAGTTACTGTGAGCCTTAGAAGAAAAGGCAAATCTAAAGCATGCAAAATGATACCTGTTTTGTGGTAAACCACAATACCATGACCCTCCAAAAACAATGGAAGTCAGGCATGGTGGTATACACCTGTAATCTGAGCGCTCTGTGAGGCTGAGGCAGGAGGATTACAAGTTTGAGCCTGTTTCAAAACTTAAAAAGGGTTGGCGATGTTGCTCAATGCAAAGGCCCTGAGCTCAATCCCCAGTACAAAGGGCGGTGGGGATGAAAGCTGGGCCTGTAGTACTGTTTACTT